ATTAGGAATATAACAATATATATATACATATATTATAAACAAAATGTATATTATATATAATTTGTATGAAAAATATTATAATTACAAAAATAAATTTTATTTTTCATATATTTTTAGAAAAATTTGTTAATTTATGATGTTTTTACTTTTTCTGTCATAAAAATATTAGGAATATAACAATATATATACATATATTATAAACAAAATGTATATTGTGTATAATTTGTAAAATTTATATAATTATTGTTAACGAATCGAATATTCGAATTTCGAATCGAATATCTACACATTCGAATTCGAATTTGTTATAATTTCGAATCTAAAACATCATTCGAATTCGAATTCGAATTCGAATATTTCGAATTCGAATCACGAATATCGAATTCGAATCACGAATCGAATAAAAAATGTTTGATTTGTTTACAACCCTAGTCGTTGGGACAGTAACAGTAGCAGATTCCACCAACAAGGAGTCTGAAGCAGTCAAGTTGTGGCATATGCGTTTGGGACATGCTAGTGAAGCGTTTGGGACATGCTAGTGAAAAGTCCTTGCAAACATGGCAAAACAAGGACTATTGAAAGATGTCAAAGTGTGCAAACTAGACTTTTGTGAGCACTGTGTTCTGGGAAAGCAGGAGAGAGTGAAGTTTGGAACGACTATCCATAATACCGAAGGTGTCTTGGATTATGTTCATTCGGACGTGTGGGGACCTTCTAAGACCCCATCATTAGGCGGAAGACGCTATTTTGTCAGTTTCATTGATGACTTTTCTAGACGTGTTTGGGTGTACACTATGAAGACGAAGGATGAAGTGTTTGGTGTCTTTATTACATGGAAGACACAAATTGAGAATCAGACTGGAAGGAAGATCAAGGTCCTACGAACGGACAATGGTGGAGAATATACAAGTGATCCCTTTCAAGAAGTTTGCCGTAAAAATGGCATTGTTAGGCACTTCACCGTTAGACGGACACCGCAACAAAATGGGGTGGCGGAGCGCATGAATCGAACATTGGTGGAGAAAGTTCGATGTATGTTGTCCAATGCTGGTTTGGGCAAGGAGTACTGGGATGAGGCTGTAACATACGCGCAACACCTCATAAATCGTTTGCCGTCATCTGCAAAAGATGGTAAAACACCGTTGGAGGTATGGTCGGGGAAACCTGTTGCTGACTATAGATCTTTACATGTCTTTGGGTGTCCTACGTTCTATCATGTGAAGGATTCAAAGTTAGATCCAAGAGCGAAAAAGACTTTGTTCATGGAAATCACAATTGGCGTAAAGGGATATCGTCTTTTGTGTCTTGAGACGAAGAAAACTGTGTTCAGAAGGGATGTTACATTCGATGAACAAAGTATGATAAAGACGACACAAACCCAACAGGTGGAGTTGACACCGAAGCAGGTGGAGATAGATGCGATGACGAGACAACCAGCTATGATCGACGAAACAATATCAAACGATTCGTCGGATGATGAAGTTCAGACTCATGAATCATTAGATTTACCCATTGCATTGAGAAAGCCCAGACGAGAGATTCAACAACCTGCTCGATTGGCGGATATGGTGGCTTATGCACTTCCAATTGTTGATGAGGACATACCTTTCACTTTTCAAGATGCAATTCGAAGTTTAGAAAATGAGAAGTGGAAGTGGGCTATTGAAGAAGAAATGTTGTCCCTCCAAAAGAATCAAACTTGGAAGGTGACGCAACTACCAAAAGGCAAGAAGGCGATAGGATGCAAGTGGGTATTTGCAAAGAAAGATGGATTTCCTCATAAGAATGATGTGCGCTACAAGGCAAGATTGGTGGCTAAAGGCTACGCTCAGAAGGAAGGAGTTGATTATAATGAAGTGTTTTCTCCAGTTGTTAAACACTCTTCCATTAGAATTTTGTTGGCCTTAACAGCACAGTTGGATTTAGAGCTAGCTCAACTTGACGTGAAGACGGCGTTCTTACACGGAGATTTAGATGAGAAAATCTACATGACTCAGCCAGAAGGATTCAAAATTCTTGGAAAAGTGAATTGGGTCTGTAAGTTGAACAAATCGTTGTACGGGCTGAAGCAATCTCCGAGGCAGTGGTACAAACGATTTGATAAGTTTATGATTGGGCAGAAGTACACGCGAAGCAGACATGATCGTTGTGTGTATTTACGCAAGCTGCAAGATGGATCTTTCATTTACTTACTCTTGTATGTGGATGACATGTTGGTTGCATCAAAGAGCCAAGTGGAGATTGATCAATTGAAGGCTCAGTTGAATCAAGAGTTTGAGATGAAAGACTTGGGGGAAGCTAAGAAGATTCTCGGGATGGAGATAAGTAGGGATAGAGTGAGAGGCAAGCTTTGTTTGACTCAGAAGCAATATCTGAATAAGGTACTGCGGCGTTTCGGCATAAAAGATGAGTCGAAGCCAGTAAGTACACCACTTGCCCCTCATTTGAAGTTAAGTGCCCAATTATCGCCAAATTGTGATGAAGAACGAGAGTACATGACTAGAGTCCCATATGCAAATGCAGTTGGCAGTTTGATGTATGCGATGGTGTGTACAAGGCCCGACATTTCACAAGCAGTTGGTGTTGTTAGCAGGTATATGCATGACCCTGGGAAAGGTCATTGGCAAGCTGTGAAATGGATTCTACGGTACATTCATAGTACTGTAGACGTTGGATTGGTTTATGAGCAGAATGAATTTGGTCAGTGTGTAGTTGGATATTGTGATTCTGACTACGCGGGTGATTTGGATAAGCGAAGATCAACGACTGGATATTTGTTCACTTTTGCAAAAGCTCCAGTCAGTTGGAAGTCTACCTTACAGTCAACAGTTGCTTTGTCTACCACAGAGGCAGAGTATATGGCGGTTACTGAAGCTGTGAAGGAGGCTATTTGGCTTCAATGTTTGCTTGAAGACTTGAGAGTTGGTCAAAAGCACGTCTTAGTGCATTGTGACAGTCAGAGCGCTATTCACTTAGCGAAAAATCAAGTATTTCATGCAAGAACGAAGCATATTGATGTTCGTTATCACTTTGTGCGGGAAATTCTAGAAGATGGAACTGTTGTGTTGAAGAAGATCAAGACAACGGAGAATCCTGCAGATATGATGACCAAGGTAGTGGCAGCAGTCAAGTTTGAACATTGTTTAGACTTGACCAACATTCTGCATATTTGAGTTGGCGCCGAGAGGCGCATTTGGAGGCACCGCTAGCAGTTGAGTTGGAAGTGAGAGCAAAATTAGTCAAGGTAGAGAATTGTTAGTTTTTTGATTAATTGTTGTCCCACATCGGATGTATACCAAAGATGTGTAGGATCTTTTTAGTATAAATAGGTCCCTTGCCTTTGGGTTACAATTGCACCTTATTCTATTCTCTCCTATTTAGAAGGAAATCCTTAATTAAGGAAATCCTATTTTGTGGGTTATTTAACCTTAGTTGTATTTTGTTGGTGAGTTTAGTAAATTTGGCGTTGCGGTTGGCGGTGCCCGGAGACGTAGGCTATTTTCGCCGAACTCCGTTATCAATTTTTGTGTTCTTCTTTTCTTCCCGTCTTTTATTTATTTGTGTTGGCTTATTTTCGTTTGCAGTAGTGTTCGCCATATTTGTTGGAGGGGTATTTTTATCCGCTGCGCTTGTTGTGATACCCCAACAAGCCACCGACTCCATGACAAGGACCACCTTGCCAGTCGTGCACCTCTGACCACTGTCGAGTCGTAAAATGCCGATTGTTAAGGATCATTATATTTGATTATTTAAGAAAAAAGTTTCATCAGTTTTTACCTGTTAACAAATCCACCCTTGATGATTTTAGCTGCTACAAGGTCCAAATCGGCATCCTCGAGCACGATGCACGTGTCTTTTCCCGCCGAGCTCCTTTTGAATAGGGATCGCGCCGGCTTTCTTTAAAATCGAGATTCCTGTGTTGCCACCAGTGAAACTGCACAAACCGAAACAAATAAAAAAAATAAAAATTATATGTGTTTTTTTTTTTTTGGAAACGGTAGAATAAAAAAAATAAAAATTATATGTGTTAAAAATGCCAAGGATAACGAATGGCAGATGAAGAAATGCCAACAGAAAGCACTTTTCTTATGACTTGTTTTTCAGCAATGGACCTGTCAAACAGAAGAATTTGGGAAAAAAAAATTTAGACCATTTCTCGATTTATCCATGTCATCCTTGCGCAGGGGCCATGCTAATCTTCTCTGTATCGTTCCAATTTTATCAGATGTCCCCGAAGGGACGAACTGTGTTGTAGAAACCGTCTTATATGACAAATAAAAACATACATGTTTCTTTGATGTGGGATAATGAAAAAGAGAACTTGTATGTATATGGGCAGATGGAATTCTCTTATGTATTGTATATGGGCCAGTGGGTTTACTTGGTGTTCTTGGGCTGGATTTGAAATTAATTAGCTTCACGAGTGTAGATTTTATTAAAAAAAAAAAACCTGCAACTTAAAAGAAAAACAAAATCAAATATAAATAATTCATGTTTTATCAATATAATTATTATTGTAAAATTGAAAAAAAAAAAAAAATCTTGGAATAATCCTTTTCATCAACATTTTATACCTTTTCAATAATGCATATAAATTTACAAGCTTAAAAATAAAACCATGCTTCTACTTTACATATCAGGATTGTCGCTAAAATTTTTATTTTAGTTAAATAATCAACTAATTTTAATACACTTTTATTATATAAGTTAATTTTTTAGGTATAAATCATAAGTGATAAACTATAAGTTCGAATCATAAATTATAAATTATAAGTTCGAAAATTGCTATTTGAAGAATGAAAGTTTGACAAAAAAAAATGGGCACAATTTGGTCTTAACTTTTTTCTTTTATTTTTTATTTTTTTTTTTAAGTCGCAGACGGCCACCGAAACATCACAACGCGAATTAAACAAACAAGAGAAAAGCAAAATTATACAGTTAGATCTCATTTTCTCCCCCACACACAGCGACAATCACAGTTAGGTGAGGAGAGGAGAGCGATGAGCCGGAGATCCGCGGCCTGCTTGCGGTGTTGCTTGGTGATCTTTGCGGTGGTTTCTGCCCTCTGTGTATGTGGGCCCGCTCTCTACTTCAAGTTCAACAAGCGCCTAAAATTCGAAGGGGTTTCGTCTTCTTGTCTTCCCTGCAACTGCAAATGTGCTCCTCCTCAATCCCTTTTTCAGATTGTTCCTGGTATTGTGATCCTTTTTGTGGTTAATTTCATGTTTTTAGCATTTAGATTTGTTGAAGTATTGTGTGATTGTTTAATTTATTGTGGTTTGATGCTAAATATGTTGTTTTTCGCTGTGAATTTGCTCTGGGTCAGCTGAAATATCCTGAAATTTTATTGCTTTTGTTGTGTGATTGTTATGATATTTACTGCCTTTTAACCATCTGTTCAAGCTGCAGTGTATTCAGTTTGGCTTTCCATAAGAACGAATTTGTTCTTTTCTTTCTTATTTCATGTATAGTGGTGATGGGATTTGAGCAGACTCTAAATCTTGGATGGACGTGTAACACTGAATCATCTTTGTTTTAGGATCCATTAATGGTAATCAATGTCTGGTATTGAAATTTAACACTAAGATCTAGTTCTAAGATGTGTGCCCTAATTAAGCAAATGAGGAAGTTCTTTGCTGCACATTACCCATTCGAAAGTAAATGAAGTACTTAGGCAAGAGGAATAGTAATGGTTTGTTGTTCTTGTTGATAAGCTGATTTCTTCAGCTACCTCTTGTTTCAGAAAGCGGTTGTTTGTGGTTCTTATTGGGACTTGATGTTAATTATCTTGAGTTACTAGCAATCAACTTCTGTTTTCCTTCAAACTTTGTTATTTTCATTGAATTGCAATAAACTGGAGTGGTTTGTATCCCTTTGGTTGGGTGCACGAGTTACAGTTTACTATGAATTAGTTGGTGCTCACGCATTCTGTCTTGCTGCACGATAATATACTTTGAAAACAGCGAGAATGAATAATATTTATTGCCTAACGCGTTGGTCCTCAAGCATTTGATCTCTATAGTTAATCTTGATCACATAATTCACTCCTCACTGATAAGTAGTTTGGCCATTGCATCTTGAACCTTTTGCTTGTGAATGTGGTGAACATGAAGCTCTTCTTTAATATTGTGGGATATTATTAAAATATACCCATAGAAGATCTTCAAAAGGTGAAATTGAGAAATATGAACTTCTGTTAGTTGCTGTCAGGAACTGTTGTGCAATTTTGCACTTCCTCTGTTCCTTCTCACGCATTCAGCCTTAAAAGAATTGACCAATGAATAAATAATGAGCATAAGAAGACCCTGAAAAAAGAGATAGTTGCTGACTGCTTATCATTAAAAGGACTACCTACTGCATTACTTCTTAACTTCATATCAGTTTTGCACACATCAGAGATTTTAGGCTCCTCTTTTGTTCCCCATTTACTTTAAATCATTGTCAGTTTTAGTTTAATTTACATTGCTTGTTTGAAAAGGCCAAATATGGTTTCATTCAGCTATGTTACTGATGCTTGCCGGTTTTGTTTTCTTTTTTCCTGCAGGTTTGGCAAATCTTTCCATTACAGGTAAAGACAACATCATCTTAAAGAAATTCTTCTCTTTTCCACTATGCTTTCTCCTTGGTAGCAACTTTTCATGGTGTTCTAAAACCTGATGTTCATTGTTATAGTCATCCAGTTTATTTCCGAAATGAACAAATAACCGGAACCAAAGGGCTTTGTCTTTCTAGTCTCTCTTTAACATTTTCTTTTATTAATGGTGATCAGTTATTTTTCAAATTTACTTAGTTTTTTTCACTATGTACTACTAGAAAACCTCTGAGAGTCTCGGCTCATCTGTTGCTAACATGAAACTTATTTTACCCATTTCTTTTATTCATTTTATCTGCGAAATAGATTGCGGGAAAGATGATCCTGATGTGAAGGAAGAAATGGAGAAGCAAATTGTGGACTTATTATCAGAAGAGCTAAAGCTGCAAGAAACTGTTAGCGAAGCACATTCCCGACACATGAACATCACTTTAGGAGAGGCCAAAAGATTAGCTTCCCAATACCAAAGGGAGGCCGAAAAATGCAATGCTGCCACTGAGACCTGTGAGGGCTCCAGAGAAAGGGCAGTGGTGCTTCTCACTAAGGAGAAGAAGATAACAGCTCTGTGGGAGAAAAGGGCCCGGGACCTTGGTTGGGAAGGTGAATAGTTAGTTACAAATAATATATGTGTGTTTTCTTTATTAATGATGATGCTTTATTGACATACAAACTGGGAAAGGTAGAGATTATCGAGCAAGGAAATCTTTGTGGATGTCTCTTTATTAGCACAGTCATCTTTGGGTATATTTGCATTCGATATTTAGTGCTTCTTTCGGCCAAAGATGGCCGAGCATTCTGCAGTGAAGGTATAGAAATTATATTTCGGAATTATTGACTCTTGGTAATGCAAATGTAATCTGTACGGGTTTCAGTTACGTTCATTTACACGAAAAATGAGTGAAATTTCATTACACGTATCGTGTTTTTTTTCCCCTTTCGTTCTTAGGATTCGAAACTTGAAGTCTTCTAAAATAGAAAAGAACTGCACATGGTTACAAAGTTGGTAAGAAGTCTCCACCACAATAAATTCGTTTATTCTGTTTGGTAAGAAGTCTCCAATCAATAAGTTGGTGAACTGTTTTTTGTGATAAATTAATCTGATAAGTTAATAAGATAAACTGATCAAAAGAATCATTATATAATATCTTGTGATTCTGCTTCTTGCTTCTTTTTTCCTTTCTTTTTACTTGCAAATAATATATAATTTTTTATTATTATTATTATTATTTTATTTTTTTGTATTTTGTTACTTAATTGTTCAACTTTCATTTTCTACCTCAAACTATATTACACAAAAGATTATCTTGCCACCAATAATTATACATTATAATGAGAAATAATTAGTCATAATAGAATCCACTAAAATTATTAAACTGCCGCTGTAAAGACCAGTAAGTATGGCTGGCTGTAGCTGAAATTAGTTTGTTAATCTCACTGAGTGAGAGTTTTTCAAAGTTTCTCTAAGCCAGCAGCTAACATTTTGCTACTCCTAATTGCAGCTTATGGATTATAAAGGGGGGAAAAAAAAAAAATCAAACTCAAACATCCTACAGATTCTGAAAGTAAGTTAAATCGATCGTGTCCTGATCGAGCCTCATACACCTCCTTGCCCGAATGAATAACAATCTAACCCGAAATCGCAGTTCAGATCCTTTTCATCGTGTTCCTACACATAAAAAAACACAAATCAAACACTAAATATTAATCGAAAGACTGATGATGAAATGAGTTTTTAATAATACTTTGGTAATCATACCCTTTTGATCATAGCATTCACCATATCATCCAACGGATCATAACCGCGACCTCCGAACCCTCCTTGCTGCGACTTCTCGCCGTTCAAAGAACCGTAACCAACTTTTGAACTGTGACCATTTTGCCCCTGTTCACCACCCAAATCATCCAAAGACAAAGCCATCCCATTCCCAGGCCCAGACGACGACATGTCAATAGAGTGGCTCGACACATAATTAGGCTCGCCTGAAAAACTACCGTCCCTCGTGCTATTTATAGCCAAATTAAATGGCTGCCCGGAAATTAACGAGTTATTCGGCTGCATCACAGAGGATGTTTCAATGCTGTTGACACCAAACGAGTCGGGCCCAAAAGGCCCATTACTCAACGTTTGCTGGAAATTTCCATTCACTACATTGCTGGGCCCACCTACAGCTCCTTGCTTGTTCGAGTCGAGTTCTAAAGACAGCTGGATCCCTGGAAACAGGTTCGGGTTCATGTTCGGGTTCGGCATTTTCCCAAGGGCGTTGAGGGAATTCGGCGGGATGAATGCAGATGGAGAGATGTTGCGTATTAGGTTCATGTTGGTGGGTGCGCTTAGCCGGCCGAGCATTCCCCCGGGTGCGTAGTGTGTGAAGGCCGCGTTTGGGAGGCCACCAAACGGGCCCATGCGGATGAAAGGCGAGTCCTTTACTCCGAATGCAGCCGCCATGTTGGCTTGCTGAGTCGCGACCGAGCTTATTCGTTTGAGGTACAACCTATATTTCTGCAAAACGAAAGAACTTTGGTAAGAATTTTTATTTTCTTTACTCTTTTTAAGGATATTTCAGCTTGATATTTAGTTTGAGTGTTCAATTCTTTGAGAAGTTGCATTTATATAAGGGCATATCAAGAAACCATTTGCTTATGTGAGATTTACTGTAAATAGCACTGAGATAAGGTAAAGATTAAGTACCTGCAGATGGCTAGCAACGTTTTCTCGGGTAAGCCCATTCACATTCATCAAGTCAAGAATCCTTTTCGGAACAGCCTCTGCAATTTATATTAACCAAAATATATATATATTGAAAATAGAGAACAAGAATGATGATAATAACTCGAAAAAGGGGAAAAAAAAAACAAGGAAAGCGTACTTTCAATGCCCAACTGGTTCACGGCCGCTACAAACTTCCGGTGGAGCTCAATGGACCAGACAACACGAGGCTTCTTTTGAGTTGCAGGGTCTTCATTTTCATTCCCATCTTCGCTCACATTTTCATCGTCTTTCCTCTTTCTAATATTCGTTTTCCCATTCTGATCACCGTTATCCGGGATAGTCCCACCTTGTCCTTCGCCACTCGCTTGATTAGGTTTGGATTGATCAGCCGGATTATTCTCATTCTTGGACACAAACTTCTTTCTTCTTATCACATGCTGCCATATATTTCTCAGCTCCTCAATCCGTACGGGTTTAACCAAGTAATCACAAGCACCGTGAGTGACACCTTTCATCACAAGTTTGGGGTCACTATTCGCAGATAACACTGCCAAAAGAAAAACAGTACAACGTTTATTTTTATGTATTAAGAAAAAAAAAAAAGGAAAGATGAGATAGAATGAGAAAGAAAAAGGTTTCTTCGGCACGTACTGATGACGGGCAGATCCATTTCGAGGCCAACTTGTTCAAGCAGCTTAAAGCCATCCATGTCAGGCATATGGACATCACTGATAACCAAGTCAAATTTAGCTTTGTTTTCCCTCAACATCTTCAAGGCCATTCTCGCTTGACTCGTTGTAGTAACTGTTAAAAAACACGTTTTTTTCATTATTCACCGAGAAAGTTCAGTTAGTCATCATTTGTTAGACATTCAAAAATCATTCGGTGCAAAAAAAGACAACTTGAGAATGATATGATACTCTCTTGTCTAGAATTCGATGCAGGTCATAGGCCATATGAACAAGAAAATGAAATATATCTTATCAAAGAGAAGAAATACAAAAGTGTCAAACAAATCTTTTATCGTTCCTCAAAACTCTCGCACTTCACGGTGTAGAAGATACGAACTACCCCAAAATTAAAAGCATTCATGCTTCCAATTGTAAAACTTATCCTCAAAATTCAGTTAGGTAAATGCAGCTCATATCAACTTTGGTAAAAAAAAAAAAAAAACTCTTGTGAGCTCCAAATCCAGAACAAAGACCAGAACTTGGACATGATTGAAGGCTAATAAAATCCGAACATCGAACACAGTCTCACGAATAAGACGACGAAAAACCAATGGATGCACGAAAATCCCAAAGCTAAACAAAGAATCCTCCAACAGATTTGCATATCCATAACAAAGATATCAACAAGTATCCTCAAGCAAGCACAGTAAAAAACTTAATAGAGCCAAGACAAGCTGTCATCAAGTCATAAAAAAGTACCTGATCCAAATCAGCAGACAACAAATGAACATTTTACAGAAGTGAAGACAGACAGACAGACAGACATACCATGGTACTGGCATTTCCTAAGTAGAGTGTCCAAAAGCTTCAGACAAATTGGGTCATCATCAACAGCAAGAACACGCATCCCCACTGGAAAACTCTCACAGTTTTCACCTTCACTCTTCATTTTCTCCACAGTCATTATTCTTTACCCAACAATCCAAACACGCCCCAGAGTGATAAAAATCGCAGCTTGGAGGTTAATTAGCCCCTCCAACGCTAAAAAAAACTAGATTAATCGGCTCAAAATCGAGATGGGCTCGCACAAGAACTCCAAAACTACGCCGTTTCAGCTGCGCAGAGACATAAACAGGGCAAAATCCTTAGTTGAATCAAAGTAAAAGAAAACCTCTGCACATGGGACAATGATGTTTGAACCCCAAGAATACACAAGAATGAGCAGTCTTTTCTCCCTATAAAAAACGGGCAATGCTATATGTACACCCCCTTTTAATAAATTACACAAAGAAAAGTGCTATATGTACACCCCTTTTTTACACTTGAGGGGGTGTACATATAGACACCCCCTAAAAAACCTGTGCGCAGATCTTTTTTGTCAGTTTGCTTGATTACCTCTCTCTTTGTGCTATTTTATTTTTTTTGGTAGTCAGCCGTGGTATTCGGAGTTATGCCTCGACTAGTCCGTTGGTCGACTCGGGTGGCACACTTGGCAGTGGTGGGTGAATCTCCCAACAAGAGTTTTCTGCATCCACAAAGACTCGAATTCGAGACCTTGCTTAGGCGACATCAAGATACTTACCACTTGAGTAAACCGTTTTGTGCTATTTTATTGATTGGCTATAAAAGGGCCTTTATTTTATTTATAAATTAATGTGTATTTTACTGCAACTTTTTTCGTGGGATCATGCAATTCTGGAAGGGGAAGACTGTTGGGAAATGATAAGGTGCGGATGAGGCGCACTGAGGGTATCGGTACACCCGCGGCTGGTTTGACAAGCGTTGGCCTTCGTCTTGCATAATGGTGTTGTACCCAATGGCCGCTTCCGGTGAAGGTACAAGGTATTAATGCACGTGTTTTCCACACGTTTTATTTTTCACAGCTTACTCTTAAAAATTGTCATCATGCCCAATGAAAATAGCAATGTTATCAAAACCGGACCGGACCGGCCGGTTCGACCGGTTGGACCGGGAACCAGACCTAGTACCGGTCCGGTTTGCATGTTTGGGCCGCTGGGAGCAAGAACCGGTATCGAACCGGTCGAACCGGTTCAAAACCGGTAAAACCGGTGAACCGGTACCGGTTCGACCGGTCGAACCGGTTCTGAAATTTAAAAAAAAAAATCTTGATGAAATAAAAAAATAATAAAAAAAAAAGAAGAGTGAGATAGTATTTTGTAATTTGGTGAATTGTAATGTTGGATTGGATATATTTTGATGTTTGATGACTTTATAGTTTGTATTTGTAATTTAGATTGCCTTGCTTTAGATATTGAATTATTAATCTATTGTTTTAGTGAACTTTATTTAGTATTGTTTATGGTAAATTATACTTGAAATATTGATTTATCAACTCTTATTAAGAAAAATGTCATTATATGCTATAAAATTAATAATAAATATATATATAATTATATATTATACATATAAAATAAATAAATAAATTATATATTAGTTAAACCGATTCGACCGGTTCGACCACTGGTCCGACCAGTGAACCATTGAACCAGTAGCTTCACCGGTTCAATGACCGGTCCGGTTTTGAGAACATTGGAAAATAGTGCTATTTTGGAAAACATTTTAAGGTTTGTCCTCGTCTTGTCGAGAGTGTCAGCAAATTACTTTTTTGTCCCCAAAATCATTTAATATATTTTTGGAATTTTTTATTTATTTCATATTATTTGGTTTTTGTCATTTTCTTTGACAGAGAAAGGGGATATGATATTATGATTTATTGGTTTCAGATGAGTGCTTTATCCATAGGGTCGGTGCCACATAAGCATTGTTTTTAAATTCGGCCCGAGAATTGACCGGGCAAGTCTCTGGGTTGGTCACTGGTTCAATTACTGAACTAGATAGTTAATTTTAAATATATATATAGGGGGCGGGTCAACTAGGTCGGGTCAACCCCGAGTCGACCAGGTCAATGCCGGGTTGCCGGGTTTTGATCGGGTCCTTTGTTGCCCTGTCTAAATAGACCACTTGGATCGGTTCTGACTCCAGGTCGACCGGGTCCCAAGTCGACTCGTCGGGCTGGTCCGAGTTGAAAAACACTGCACATAAACATAAAAAAAATATGATTTATTGTTTTTTAAAAAATCGAATTATTTATTATTTATGAGGAGTTATTGTAAAATGAGTTTTTTGGTACAATAAAGGGAGACAAAGTCTACACAAACTAGACGGTAATCTTCTTTGGATAAGACACGCTGATCACGTCATGATGTAACAAGATCTCCGCCCCCGCTGGAGGGGACTCCAAGCGATGAAGACCACCTGAACCTTTAGCCGCCAATGATGCCAAATAATCCGCCACAAAATTAGCCTCCTTATAACCATGAAGAATCCCCACAACCCAAGGACGGCCCAAAAACTCCTTAATCCCCTTAATCACGCTCTCATGCTGCCCGCTATAATCATCACATTGTATCATCTCAATGATACTCTTATTGTCGACTTAAACTGTAAAATGAGTTTTACATTGAGTTATATCTTACATAAATTCAATTATCAAATTCTAATCAGTATTTACCAAGTATTTATCAATTATCAAATTCAACAAATGTACTAATAATTAAGGATACTAGTTAATTTACTAAAGTGTCCAGGTTTGATGCATAGGGATTATAGAGATGGATCAATTGTATTTTCACATTTTCATCAAAATGATTGGAGGGTAGATTAGTCTTTCTGCATAATTTGGTGGATAAAACTAAAACTACTTTTAGAACAATCAATTCAGAATCTTTGTCATAATTTAGAAATTGAATACTAATGAATTTTCCCTCTTTTTCACCTTTGTAATGTAAAAAATCATGCAGCTTTAAACAAGTTGGCCTATTTAAATTTAAATATGACAAAAACAAAGTATCTTAATTTGTGCTTTATTTTCAAGAAAATGTGACTTTTTACATTTTATTTTAGGCATCCAAAAGCTTGAATGCAGACTTTAGGCCATCACCCAATGAGGAATGGCTGATTAGCATCTTTAATATTATTCCTTTGAAAAAAAATAAAAAAAATAAATATAATAATAAATGATGATTATAATAATAGAAGGAGAAGTGATGAGGTGTTGACTAAATTGTGTAAGTTGTGTGTTGATATTTGTTGCTTTTTTTACTGTTTAGATTAGAATTAAGATTGATTTATGGAAGGGTTTTAGAAAATATTGTTGGGAGAAAGAAATAAAAAGATAAAGCATAATCAATTTTAGGGGGGTTTTCATTCATTATTATTATTATTATTATTATTATTATCATTATTATTGTTATTATTATTATTATTATTATTATTATTATTATTATTATTATTATTATTATTATTGTGTACATTTAACCTAGTTTTTAAAATTTTTTATAAGTTTCATAATATTCAGTTGAGATTTTAAAAAAATGTAAATAAACATGGGTTATTCAACTTATTTCTCAATTTGATTTGTTTTCGACCTTTTAAGACTTATCAAAGTTTTAATGACAAAACACATATACAAACTCTTGTACTAAATCTTACATCCGGACTTAAGGTGTTCAATCACTACAAAAAAAAAAAACTCTTACATTCCAACGGAAATTTTTCGTTGGAATAGCTATTCCAACGAATATTCCTACATATACAAATTCGTTGGAAAAACGGCCGTTGGAATAACAAATATCCAACGGAAAATCCTATGGAAATATATTCCTACAGCTATTCCAACAAAAAAAATCCGTTGGAATTCCTCAACTATCCAACACTTATTCCAACATAAAATTAAGTTTGTTGGAATATTCATTGGAATATTCATTGGAATTTCCAACCGTTGGAATTGTAGTGTTTTTTGTAGTGAATAATTCGATTTTTATTTTTATTTTTCTAAAAAACTCAAATTTAAAAAGAAAAAAAAGAATTAAAATGTCCCTTAAAATCTTAAAAACCAAATTAACAATTAATTTTCTATCTAATGCATCCTAGTGTTGTAAAATTACTAAGTTGGCTGAAAAGATAATGAATGCAATAAATAAAGTATGTTATACATATAATTAGGGGTGAGCATGGTGCGGTTCGGTGCAAAACCGCACCGAACCGCAAAAAACCGAAAACCGAATTTTTTCATTTACCCAAACCGAACCGCACCGAAACATGTAG